CTCTTTCCCGTAGAAATATATCAACATACCATAGTTCAACTGTTTCATTTCCATGTTATTTAAATTCAAACATTTCTTGTCTTTGAAGAACTGCTACATGAATACATTTCATTGATCAAAATAACTGCAAAGTTTCTAAGCAACCTTGAATTTCTACTTTCTAGACTAAAGTATCTGCTACACGTACCATCTCCTGTGACACTGTAAAGGCCATGTTTTCAGTCAACAAAACTAATCACAAGAGAAAACAATTAGAAAAATCTTCCATTTTCATTAAACAAGTATATTCAAGACTGTTCAATGAGTAATTGAACAACTAAGAAGTTTCTTTTTTTTTTTTTTTTAATTTTTTTTTTAACGTTTATTTATTTTTTTGGGACAGAGAGAGACAGAGCATGAACGGGGGAGGGGCAGAGAGAGAGGGAGACACAGAATCAGAAACAGGCTCCAGGCTCTGAGCCATCAGCCCAGAGCCCGACGCGGGGCTCGAACTCACGGACCGCGAGATCGTGACCTGGCTGAAGTCGGACGCTTAACTGACTGCGCCACCCAGGCGCCCCAGAAGTTTCTCTTTTATGAAGCAAGAATTCTGTAATGCAGATATACTTGTATCACTCCAGAATTTTTGGTCCTTCCCTCCATAGTTAGAGGGAAGTGCATTTTAATCACAGATATTCATTTCCCACTTTTTTTCTGAGATTAATAAATAATGAAAGTATGGTAGTATGCATCTGAAATCACTAAGGACATAATGTTAAAAGGCATACTCCTGCAATGAGCAATGGTCTGCCAACCATCTCATTTGAAGATGAGTAAATGTTATTGTAGGAACTAAAGTCTTGGGTATCTCTGATAAAATAGATTTAAGCACCCACTGTAGGGGCATCTGGGTGGCTCAGTCGGTTAAGCGTTGGACTCTTGATTCAGCTCAGGTCATGATCTTATGGTTCGTGAGTTTGAGCCCAGTGGCAGGTTCTGGGCTGACAGCGTGGAGCCTGCTTGGAATTCTCTCTCTCTCTCTCTCTCTCTCTCTCTCTCTCTCTCTCTCTCCGCCCCTCTCTGCTCATGCTCTTGTGTTCTCTCTCTCAAAATAAATAAATATACATTAAAAAAAAAAAGAACCCACTGTAGGGAACTTATTATTCTTTAAAATTCCTCAGTGGATCTTTTTTTTTAAAGTTTATTTATTTTGGGGCGCCTGGGTGGCGCAGTCGGTTAAGCGTCCGACTTCAGCCAGGTCACGATCTCGCGGTCCGCGAGTTCGAGCCCCGCGTCAGGCTCTGGGCTGATGGCTCAGAGCCTGGAGCCTGTTTCCGATTCTGTGTCTCCCTCTCTCTCTGCCCCTGCCCCGTTCATGCTCTGTCTCTCTCTGTCCCAAAAATAAATAAACGTTAAAAAAAAAAAATTTAAAGTTTATTTATTTTGAGAAAGAGAGAGAGAGAGAGACAGAACATGGGGGAGGGGCAGAGAGAGAGGGAGAGACAGGGGGAATTCCAAGCAGGCTCCTCACTGCCAGCACAGAGCCCGACATGGGGCTCAAACTCATGAACCACAAGATCATGACCTGAGCTGAAATCAGGAGTCAGATGCTTAACCTACTGAGCCACCCAGGTGCCCCCACTGTAGGGAATTTAGAGGGTTACTAAAAACATAAAACATTACCTAGATGTACTCAGCCTATAAAACACAAGATACACACAAGAGAACATTTTTATCCTCGAAGACACAATTACCCAAATTAGACGAAAAATTGGAAGTAGAAAGAAAAACAAAAAGGACAAGGCCAAATGCCATATTTGAAGACAAGTTTGAAAAAGCACAGAGGAATACCTACCTTAGTCCAGACATGAACAATGAAGAGATGTGGACTATATTTGTCCACGATGACCTGGGCATTTGGAACTAAGGGATGGTTATTCAGTGAAAGAAGAAGGTGCTTAGTTCGAGTATTTTTTATTTTGTTTATAACAAATCCTCACTTTCTCTGTTAGTTTTCCAAGAGCTCTGCCACTTAGCTAAAAAGAATGATTACCCTGGTTTATAAAAAATACAAAATCAGAGCTCTAAATGGATTTGTGAGATTTTCCAGAAGAGAGAACAATGATACAGTGGAAAGTAGGAACTGTTGGCAGATTTCCACTTAAAGCCAAATTTCAAAAATTTTAATGGAAAAAGAATGTCCTTAATTTTCTAGGTATAAATTATTTATATTATCACATCAAATTGTTTATATAATCTAATTTTAACAAACAATTTTCCCCATGGGAAATATTTTAATATTCATAGAATAATTTTAATAAAATTAAAATTTCACTCTTAAGAATATTAATTACTATATGAATCCTGTGTGGACTCAAGAGTAAATGGCAAACTCTATTTTTCAGTTATCACTTGAGAACTTTACACTAGAATACTATTTACTGTTAATGAAGATTTGAAAGAAAAGAAGTAATTTCTTAGCATAAACTCAGCTTCAATATAATTAACAAAGTAACATATTTATTCATAAAAATCCATGAAAAAACTTAATATGTTAAATGTGTCAGAAGTCTTTCTTTTAAGGGATAGCACTTTTCAGAAAAACTCCTGCACAAGGTAATGTGTTCCCCTCAAGACATCACAGCCAAAACCTAAGCATGGGAAAGTTCCTTAGAGGACATCCAGGCATCCGGGATTCCTGCTACAGCATTTCTAACAAGTAAATTTCCAGAGCCTGTATGAATCTTTCCAATAACTGGGAGGTGGGGTCTACTATCCACGGTCCAGCCTATTCTAGTGCAGGGGAGCTGTGACTATAGTAAAGTTCTTCCTGCTGATGAGTAGAATCTATGTTCTTAAAATTTCAACCTACCTGGTATAAAATTAATACCACTGGTTATATAAAGTTCTAGCATCCATAAAGCACCTCAAATTCCAATTCTTTTGTTCCCTAGTTGGAAGTAGCTAAGAATAGCATAGAAGTTCTATCACTCTAGGACTTGCGGAAGGAAGGGGACAGGAGGGTAGAGGTGTGACAGAACAATGTAAAAGGAGACAGAAGACAACAAATATTTGGTTCACAAGGATATTTTATGTCAGATTCAGTGACAAACATGGATATAATCCAAGACTACAAAATACAAAAGATTATCTATGGGTGCATGTGGTGTACGTGTAAGTATTTTTGTTTGTATATATATGAGTATATGTAGATGCATGTGTGTATATATATGTTTAATACATGTGCATGAGTGCATGAGTATATATATAGTTGACCCTTGAACAACAGGGGTTTGAACTGTGCAGGTCTGCTTATAAACAAGGATTTTTTTAGGTAAGTACAGTACACTCACTATTGTAAATGTCTTTTCCTTATGATTTTCTTAATAACATTTTCTTTTTTCTAGACTACTTTATTGTAAGACTACAATATTATATTATTGTAGACTACAATATATATTGTAAGACTACAATATTATATAATACATATAACATACAAAATATGTGTTAATCGACTATTAATGTTATTGGCAAGGTTTGAGTCAACAGTAAGCTATTAGAAGTTAAGTTTTCGGGGAGTCAGTAGTTACATGCAAATTTTTGCACTGCATGGGGGTCAGCACTCCCCCACTCCCATTATTCAAGGATCAACTGCATATACGTATATGGCATATGCATGTATGTGTATGTGTGTGCATGTGTGCGTGCATATGAATATGTATGTATAAAATGCCAAGTCAGCCAATAGAAAAATCTGCAAACTATGTTCAATAATGGAAATGCAAACGTGGGTTTTTAGGGTATTATTTTCAACAACATAGAATTCACACAGCTACTAAACATGGCAGGAGTTATTAACAGACCAGAGAGGATGAAGGGAATTCAACAAACTTATGTTTATTTCACGGTTTGAGAAATATTATTTTGAAACATCTGAGTCATGGAATGTGAAACTTATTATCTAGATATTTGGTATGAAGTAGATGAAGAAGTTCTCAACCAGTAAATCAAAATCAACCAGTAGATCACTATGTCAAGTCTCTTTCTGCAAGTGCTAACAAAGCTGATATCATGGGAGGGTAAGGGCCAGCAAAGCCACACCTTCCCGGGTGCAGCTCAGGGTCCACCCTTACAGGCCTTGTCTGCACTCTACCTATGCTATGCTTCAGGGAGCCAGCCAGCAACAGTTCCTCACAGGGGTCTGGGTTGCCCTGAGGTGAACACAGCCCCCACTGACAGGACACTCAATTATTAAAAGAGAATTCAAATACGTTCATTAGATCTCAAGATAAGGAAGAGAATAAACACAGAGAACATACATAGAACATACATTTTGTTTCACACAAACATAGAAACAGAAGAAGAAAGGGTTTGGGTAAATCGTTAGGATATTAAATTGTTGCTAAATTTTACTCACCACAAAGAATAAAATGCTACTCAGATCTAATATGGCAAAATGATGAAGCTACATAAACAGTTTCAGTTAATCATAAAATTGGAAACAGATCATTGGATAATGTAATATATCTTTTTCTAGGTAACACATAAACCCATTCCAAATTGTATAGCCTGGTAAAGCACAAAAATTACTACTTTTGACCCATGGGCCAAATATCACACACCATCTGTTTTTGTAAATAAAGTTTTGTTGCCACATGGCCCCCCTCATTCATTTGCTGTCTGTCTATTTTCATGCTAAAACATCGGAGTTGAGAAGTTGTGACACAGACTATTATGGCCCACAAAGCCTAAAATATTTACTCTCTGTTCCCCTTCATGGGAACAGTTTGCAGACCCCTGCCCTACATAATTACAGATCTTAAAATAAACACGTAGGTCACACTGCTAAACCATGACAGTCTCAGGGGAGGAAAGAACTTCACTTGCTTTATCATGTAGGCCCTTCCTTACAGATCAACAACAAAAAAGAATTGCAAAAACTGTTCCAAGGGTTGTGAGGGTATTTTATAGTTTGGAGAAATGAAGTAATTGCTCTTCCTACTTGCTGTGTTGGTTCCTACCTGTTTTTCCTCCTCTTCATCTGAAGTGCTACTGGTGTTCTGGACATTTCCGCTGGGTCTGCTGGGTTGGTAACCTTTCAACTTTTCTTGAATGGACCAGTTTTTCTCTGGATGTGTTGTGTCTTCCTCATCACTTTCTGGGTTATTTTTCCATTGTTTCATCATTTCTAACACATTGGTTGGTCTTGCTGAAGAAAGTATGTTGCCCTAATATTAACAATGAATTTTTGGTGTTATAAACCATTTAGAAAATTGAGATTTTTACATCTTTTAGTAATATATTTCCCCAAAGCCAGTAAATTGCATGGAAAAACTATAATGCTGAATAAATAGCAAAACTTTTGATGCCCTTTGGAGCATACTTCCTGCACTGACATGGCTCGTACCTCTTGACTGATCTCATGTACAACCCGTTAGGGTTCAGAGGTGGGGCAAGACCCCCTTCTAGAGCTATTTGTAAAAACTAACAGGGAAATGCAAAGAATGAAAAAAACTTGCCCCAAGTCTAGTGGGTCCAACACTAAGGACAAGTTTATATAATATCAAAATGTCTAGGTAGAAATGCTAAATTCAATTGAGTAAACACTGTGAAACAGCCTCAAAATTGTATTATCTCATGCCATTTCATGGAGAGACACTTTGTTATCAGCAGATCTTATTTAAAAATTTGTTTAATGTTTATTTATTTTTGAGAGACAGAGAGAGACAGAGTAGAGACACAGTAGTGTCACATTTCAACAGGCTTGATATCGGCAGAGATGGAACGAATCCGAGCAGGCTCAAGGCTCTGTCAGCAGCTTTACTAAACAGCTGGGGCTCACTCACGGACCTAGGATCATACAGGAGCCCCAAAGTCAGACCACTTAACCACCTAGATCTTATTTTAAAATGGATTTTGTCTGTATTTGCATTGGACATTTTTGCTTTTGGGGTTTCTTTATTGTCATCTCAAATAATGTACAATACAATAAACAACAACAAAAAACAAAAACAAAAAATATCACTGTGTCCAATAATATAGATATTTGATTTTTGATTTAAAAGCTTTTATTTGAGGGGCACCTGGGTGGCTCCATGCCGGAGCGCTCGACTTGTGCTGAGGTCATGATCTCGTCCATAAGTCTGAAGCCCCAATCGGGCTCCTCATGCTGACAGCTTGGAGCCCGGGAGCTTGTTTTGTAGTTCTCTGTCTCCCTTCATGTCGAGCCCTCTCTGTCTCAAAAATAAATAAACGTCTAAAAAATTTTTTAAATAAAATAAAAGATAAAATAAAATAAATAAAAGCTTTTATTTGACTGGAAGATTTCAATATGATGTGGTCATTTGAGTGTAACTAATTCAGCACACTGCTTTTATCCCAGATGTGACTATCCCATATCAAAGTTGACTGTTTTATATTAACAATATTTTTCTCAAATATAATATTCCACTTAGTGCCAAGAAATACATGAATGTAGTCTCAAATGGCTCCCGCTAGAGTAGGAATGCCTTAAATATTTTTGCTCCTAACTCAGACTAGTAGAGAAAGTTTAGACAAGTTTGGATCACATTTGGATTAAAATGGGAAATTCAGGTGTGGGCACAGCTATGGAGTGATTCTGCATTAACTTGGTATGTGGGTGGATGGAAGCATCAGTGACACCAAATACTATGAAACAGGGCAGTGTAAGGGCAGCCATCTGAGCACACTGTTGAGGATTTGTAGAGTTTAACAGATTTGTGGTTAAAAACACAAACACATTAAGTATGGAATGGTAACAATGAAATGAGGATCATTATGCAATTAATTCCCCATGATTCTTCTATTTCATCCTGTTTTAAGAAGTTCTATATTCTTACCACTTTCTTAGCATCCTGCTTTTGATAAAACACTACCCATAGCATCCCCTACCCGTTCACTCCCAGAATTCCTTCACCACGCCTTCTGCCAACCCATAGCCTACATTTCCTCCAAGGCTCAATTTGAGTCATCTCTAGTCAAGCATCCCAGAACTTCAAAAGATGTTGTCATCTTAAATTCAGATGAAGTACAGAAGGAATCTCAGTAAAAGAGTTGGGATTGTCTACAATGGTAGAGTCTCTGATCTCTCATCTGAATGAGTTCTGACCTCCAGGGCTCTGCCAACAGCCCTGTTTGATCCCTATAATCCATCTAGCTTCTATTACAACTTCCTGGTTTCATCCTGATCTTTAGCCCCAATTTTCATGTAATTACAATATCAGCTCCTCGAATGCTAGTAGACAAAACTCTGCCTCAACTTGATTCTTTCACTAGCAGACAGACAATCTGATATTATCTAAGTCTGTATTTCCAGTCCTCAATTGCCCTTCCCTGATAAACTTTCTGTAAGGTAACTCTTTAGATACTATGGTAGTCACAAAGGCTGCTCACCTAACATTCCTTTCTTCTAGACATGTTGTAGACCTCTGCCTCTCTTCCTCTTCTGGGATATGACCATGTGAATTGTTTTGGCCAGTGAAATGTTATTGGAAATAGTATATATAACCTCTGGGTGGAAAATGTAAAAGATGGTGTGCAACGTATCATATCCCCAATTCCTTCATGAGTAACTACAGAAGCAGAGAGATGGAGCCTCCCTCAGCCTGGATCCCTGAGTGAGGGCAAAGTAAAACAAAGCCTCCTCCTCTCCTCCCAGCCAATGTGCGATGGAAGACATCAAGGACGCTGAGATTTGGGGGTCATTTGTTACCAAAGGATAATTTAGCCTGTCCTGATATAAATAGCAAATTAAACATTTGCATTCTGTAAGTCACTTCCAAAAAGCCTTAGAAAGAATGAGCCCATGGTACAACCAGCATACCCAACAAAACTGTAATGACTACAGAAGTCATATCCAATTAGCACCATGTGATAGCCCATTTATTCAGACAGTCCTTGCTTTGCACAGTCCTGATGTGTATGAATTTCAATCATCATGACTTAGTTAAATACTATCAGTCACCCAACAACACAGTTCAAACTGCAGTCACCATGGTATACTAACACTAATTACATGAAGTTCAAACTTCACTGCTAGCTCTTCAATCCACAATCTCCATGTAAATTACAGATGTGCATTGTGATCAGTGACGGATCATGTCACTTCTTTCCCAGTCTGTCGTGACAGGACACTGGGCATTTGCTATTCAGTTCACACACAGGCAGCAAAGCATGCAGTTGTGTTGCCTCCTTGCCTCCCAGTGAACTTGACAGCTAAGAAGAAGGTGTAGCAAATAAATGAAAGGGGATCAGGCTGGAAGTGGAATCTGAATCAAATGTCAGTGGAGCAATAGCAGAAGCAGCTGACCTTGGAAGCATGGACACTGCCACCATTTGAGAGAACTTAGCCATGCAACCCAAGGAACTTGGTGAAGGCAAACTTATAAACATAAATGGGAGGAAAGTGGTGTGCAGAAACAACGCAGGTGCCCCAGAGACTGTGCAAAGAAGGTGACATTTAAAGAATTTTCAGAGAAAATTTATGACATTGAAAGCACAAATGATAAAAAGTTGGAAGTTGACCCAAACTTAGAAAATTGTATTATAACTCACCAAAATATAAAAAGATGCTTCCCTCTGTATTGTATTATATTCAAGCAGGAGAAGGTAAGCACTGTTTAAGCTAATTTTGATAAGTTTTTATTAAAAAATATATACTTTAATTCTGATATTTCTAATGTTTTAAACTCCAATGCACTAAAAAATCGGTTTATCTCTTGTTTCTTTTTCTAAGTATTATAACCAACAGTTTTCAATGTTTAACAAAAAATTTTAAAGTGCATGGAACAATCCTAATTTTCCCCAATGATTATTAACATCACTTTGCTCTTTCAACCTGCATTGTTGTTTTTATGGTCCTGTGCTACTATACAAACCAAGGATTCCCTGGATTATTTTGAATCTGCATCTCCGGCAATCTTTCAAATGCTTGGTTCACATATACATATGCATAAGAGCTTGATGACTGACACTCTAAATGCCTAAAGTAGAGTGCTTTTGCACTCAAAGAAATGACCCTATTTCTCATTTCAAAGAGGCTGTGGAGAAAAGAAAGGATTCAGGATAGGACATTATTCCCTCTGAAACATGCTACTTGGAAATCTCTAACTCCTTGTTTCTGACATTCATGTGTGATACCAAACAGTGCACAAATAGTGATTCTGACTCCAGACTTTCCCTGTTGTCTACAGTCCAGTCAATAACTTACTAGACTACCTTCTTCTTGCTTGCTAGCAATTGGAGGAGGAATTGCATCGCATTCTTGGACTGACCGATGATTAAGTGACCCAGGGCTATGTGTCATGAGCCTTCTAGGGTCAATCGAAACTACAAATGAACCAACCACCCAAAACAAAGATGGGTGGAATTATTAGGGCAGACACTGTAGATTGTGTAGATTTTACCATCAGGACACTACCCTCTGAATTTCCTTTACTGGCTTGGGGAATCAGGGGTCAGACACTGAACTCATCAACTATGAAATAGTAAGAGGCAAGAAGGCGGCAGTAACAGACCAATAATCTGAGGCTTTCAAAAGTAGAACACCAACCTTTTGGTTACTAAATTTCCACTTGTTTAACTAACAGATGGCTGAGGCTATTTTACTTTGAAAAATGGAAAATGAACACCCATGGAGAAGAAGCGTTGGCAAAAACTGAGATTTGGATTTAAAACCTTAGTATTAAATGAAGACCACAAATGGAGACCCAAACATATGCCCTCATCTAACATACTTCTCAAGGACGGCAACTCTAAGTATTTGGTAAACAATAAGTATGCAACGAGTATTTTTAAATGAATGAATGAACAATATTCATGAGCTGGGGTGAGGTGATACGAAACATAAAATTGGCAAAGCTAAAAGAAAACATTCGAGGTCTTTAGCTTTTGGTCATCATTCTATTTCTTGTAAATAGCCAGAACTCGTCATTTTGTGATGTTCCTAACAATATATATGTATTCTTAATTGAGTATAGTTGATACCTAGGAATAAATTTTTTCAATAGGAAAGTGGAATAGTCACTTTATTAAAAAACATAGAAGAATGTTCAACTTCACAAAATTAATAAAACCCAAATCAAAACAATGAGATGCCAATTTTCACTTAACAGATGGACATAAGTTTAAGTTTGACAATACTCTGTATTGGTAGGGGCGTGGGAAAACAGGGTTTCTCATCTACTTGCTTTTTTTATTGGATCACATA